TGTAATTACAGGGCGTGGACGCAAACAGAAGACAGCGGACGCGAACGAACGACTAAGTAACGGCCCTAATCAAAAGAAAGCTATGCTATACAAGAACACCAGTGTGCTCGGGCGTTACAACTATAAGTGAACTGCAATTTAGTTAGAACTCCTCGAAACAGGGCAAAATATTAACGGTCTCGATGCAATTTCCTTGCAATTACTTACTCCTCCTGGACTTCAGCGAGTTCCAAACCCAGCACATCGCAGAAGGTTTGCAAAGTTATGACACCAGTATTCTCGGGGTCGAAAAGTTTCTTCCAACGCTATATATGGGAGAAAAGGTAAATCATTCTTATTTTCAGGAAAGTGTGTGAAGGAATGCAAATATTCCATGACAAATAAAAGGCTACTAGACAGTAGTGAATATGTGATTGCACACAGGACTATGCATAAAAAACTGAATTGTTTACACTTATTTAGCATGAGTACTAATTCAAAGCCCAGTACGGTAAAGTATTCACTCTTTATTTACCAGTGACTGCGTGTTGGCAGCTTGTGAATAGTAAACGGTTCCTCTACCGTAGTTGATTTCAGCTCAAAAATTCATAGCAATTCTCGAGGCTCTGTTTCGAAAAATTTAGGCCTAGTGGGGGATGGTTTGACGAGAATGATTAGTGAGGCCTACAAAACATTTTCGACTCATAATGAAAAAATACTTCCTTCTGTTCAGTAGGCATACTTTTTAGCATTTTTAACATTAGGACTAATTCCCACTGGACCATTGGCGAGCGCATGTAAGCTGGGGGGTGTTCTCTGACCTCGGGCGAGGTCACTGAGAGTCAGGGCGTGTAATATGGGGGATGGTGGGTGACCTCGGGTGTGGTCAATGAGGCGAATTTTTTATTTTATTACTAACCCTAATTGGAACAAAGGTGAGCGCGCGTAAGTGGGGGCTGGTGTCCGCAGACTTTGGGCAAGGTCATTGACAGTGTTCAGGGGGAAGCGTTGAAACGTGCGAGTTAAAGGAGGACGAAAACCGGCGCTGGAACCAACTCCTGCATCTTAGTGAATCCGTGGTGGAAGAAAACGGAAAGTATACCTACTGAACAGAAGGAACTAGTTTTTAATTATAAGTCAAAAATATTTTTAGGCCTCACTAATCATTCTTGCCAATGGTTGTTACGTTGTTATCTGAAGTTTTAATTAACGATATCGTCTATTCATTTTTGATACTTTTTCTACGCAGCAGAAGGCTGTAGCGACCGGCCCACCCAGGATCTCACGCAGCTGCACAATTCTCCCGTAGTTACCATTTGCTGACCAAACGCCATCCTACTGAACGCTCCCTCTCGTCTTAAGGTCAGCACTCCCATTCCTTGAAAAATGTTTGCTGACCTATACCAACAGACAAACAAAACGAACATTTTACATTGTATTGATTGCGATAATCTAATATGCAAGTCCCTATTTTGTAGTACCATAACGTGCATGCTTATTTGATTTAGGTAAGTTGGGTTTTTTGGCTTAACTTAATAAAATGTTTAAGGGTCAAGGTTAAGATAAGGTTTAAGGTTGGGGCTGGTTAGATATTCCATGTTAAAGTTAGGGTCAAATTTGGCTGCTGAAGACCGTGTTACTCAATCCAACCCATTTAAATCAGTACGCTCGTTTATGAACCGCAAATTTGTATATTTTATATTGCGCATTTCTTCCAGCATCTCATTGGAGTAATAAAACAAAAATACTGCCAGGAATGCGAGTATTCTCAACGGTTTCCATAGATTCCGTTAATTGCCTCGCTCATCTGCTCTACGGATAACACGGCTATTATCACTCTTCCCGCTTTACAGGAGTTTCGGGGCTCTGTTTTCTCACTGGACCTACATAGTGGACCATGCTCACCCTTCGATTTGCGGTACTTCCCTAACTGCGCTGAGAATATCGTCTTGTTAGCATCATGCTCTGGTTACCTACGGAATGTAACGACGCGAAGACATGGGGTACATGAATAATTCAGTTTACCTATGAACACTGGAGACACCAGGGTTTTCCAGCTAGGGGTGACATCGTCACCCGATTCAGTTCTGCTCACAGAATTTTCGCAAGCTTTTAAAAGTGTCTACGGACCCACCACTGCCATAAAGAGATTCCTATGTGTCGGATATTCGTCCGCTAAGTCCTCTTATGCTGTTATGAACGCTGGGAAAAGGAAGAGGATCAAAAACTGGAGATGTTGGACAGTTGCTTGAAAAGGCTCTGTTCATTGACGCTCAAGGACATCGCCCGTATGAGGCAGCTCACCCTCGCTGCCACAACAAAACAATAGTATCCTTAGCCATTAAAGAAAGGGGGCTGAGGTGTTTTGGGGCACGCCTTTTATCCCCCAGCCCATTTATTCTGTGCTTTCGTCTGACGGAAGGTGGAGAAGTGGATGTCAGTTCAAAATCTGGCTCAACACAGTTCGCTAAGGACAATGAAATGACTCTTTAACCTTCAGATTCGAGATCTTCATCAGGGAAAAAAATGCATCCTCAACCTTGAGTGATCTAGGATGGGTAATTGCAGTTGGTGGCATCTAGGCCGACTAGACCAGATGTGCTAATAGCATAACGTACTATATCCTCAGTAAATACGAGGCTGTTGGACGTCTATGTACTAATTATAAACTTCGATCTACGGTGATAAATTCACCCGAATAGATCTTTTCCAAGGCAGTGTTTTGTATATTACTTTAGCAGACGTAATCCGCAAGCAGACTAGGGGGATAGACGGTCTACCAAATTCGAAAAAAAGGTTTCCTTTTATAATACTCGAGAAGCTATGAGCTAACACGCAGGTAGGGGAGAGAGAGAGGGGGAGGGGATGAACTACATCCGCTCCTCTTCGGCGAACAAGTGTGGGCAGGAGGTAAACACTAGAGTGACCTTGATCGAGTAAACTCCCGCGATCAAGACAGAAGGTCAAGGATAAATTAGCAGCAGGCGTTGCTCCCTGTCAGGTCATGCAGCAATTCCCGATAGTTGCGATCAGTGCACACAGCTGCTTCCTTCCAACCGGCCGATGCAGCATGGAAAGTACACCAACGACTGCTGCTGTCTGAACAGGGTGCAAAGGGTAACAGTTATACGGAGTACTGAACTAGTTGTCTAACTGGCCGTCTAAACCAATGCATGCACCCTTCACAGTAGGCCTGACACTTGGTTTTCGCAAAAACTAAGGTTAATTAAAAGAGCACTTCTGAAATTCATTAAAAAAAACTCCCCAGTCAAGTGAAGTAAGTGCGCAATAAACCACGTTTTAAAACCGTAAATCACAGGGGCCAAAATCAACTGTTTGTGTACCGGATTCCGGGAGTATCGTCGACCC